GATTCATTAGTTGTCGTAGCTTCAATATTCTTATAAACAACTGCTGATGCTGCTGCTGTTGGTGCAATTAATGCTTGAGATTGACTTTTATTACCAATGAATTGTGTACTAGGTGTACTACTTAACATTTCTGATGATGCATAACGTGGTGCTGTTGATTGATTAAAATTCGTTGATGGTGAATTAAAATTTCTTTGTTGTTCAATAATTTTCTTCTTTTTTTGTTTTCGTTTATATATTACTTTAAGACGATACCAAAGAACAACAAGAATAATTGCACCTATTGTTATTGCTACTAATGTACTTAGTACAATAAATAATTTTTTGGCACCATTTCCTGATGTTTTTGGTGGTTTGGTGTATTTGTAATACCTAAAATGATGTTGATTATTATCATCTAGAATTTATTAAATAAATAAAACAAACCATAGAGTTGTTGTTGTTGTTATTGTAGTTGGAGTTTCAGATGTAAAAGAAGTAGAATTTTCTGAAATAGTTGTTATAGGTAATATAGATGTTATTTGTGTAGTTGTAGTTGTTGTCGTTGTTGTGGTGGTTGTTGTTGTGGTCATTGCATCACAATCAATAAACATTAATGTATAATCACATTTATCATCTAAACCACGAAGAATAAAATCAGTTGTATTTGAATATTGAATTGATTCATTTCCGTTTTGATATTGATCTAACAATGATGTTGTTTCATTGATATTACATATTGGTGTTAAACGTAAATAATTTGTATGATATTTTACTGTTGTAATACTAGTGGTATTTTCATAAGTATCAGGATTATGATATAGGTAATGAACATTACATGAACATGAATATTGACGTGGTGCATGAAATGTAGTCTGATTAGAACGTGATAATAAACAAAAAGCAACATCACTTAAATCAAAACTAAAAAAGAAGAAAAAAAAAATGTTTTTTTATTTATACAAATATGACCTTAATGTCATTAGTGTTTTTTTCTTGTTTTCTTAATATGTAGTTATTAGTTATATACGTTTATTCTATTCATTCTTTTATTGGACACAATCAATCAAATATGCATTCTATTCTGAAAAGACTCTTTTGTTGTCAACAAGGAAAATATGTTGATTGAGAATATTTTCACAATTTTCTTTTCAAATTTATTCGTCTTGGTAATTATTGTCCCTTTTTCTTTCGGATAAAAAAATATATGAATAGATCGAACAAATTCTATTTTTTTTTGGGTTTATTATATAATCAAAAATTTATCATAAATTACATGTTATTCATGCTTGTATTATTATGACTTAATGATTAGTTTCAATTGAATTCAAATCGTATGTTTAATTAGAAGAATTAATAATACTCATGGACATATCTCTTATGCGCCAATAAATTTCAGTAATGCGCTATACAATCTCCGTTTCATGATCGAACTTTATTCTTTTTAGTCGTTATAACTAATAATCATTCTATTCATCTCGACAGAACTCATATCCTGTTCTACCCCTCTTATTGAGAAAAAAAAATCCGCTACTCTATACATGTATTCAATAACAATTGATGTTTGTAAAGTAGCCGCTTAATTATAAAAATACTAGGCAAACTATCTATTAGCTAACAACTAACATGGGTCCTTGTGATGTATACCAACAAAAAATACTTATGTCATCGGTAATAAACATCAAATCAGTAAATGACACGTTTGTTTTGTTTTGCTAAATATAACAATATTTGATCTTATCAAGACGAGACAAGGTTATTTCTCATTGAGTTAAAATGCAATTTTTGTTTCTCCTTTCATATCAATCTCTTACTTTGTATTAAGCAAATAATTCACATGTAAATTAGCTAAATTCCATATCCAATGAGAATATTGTGGATCAATATTTTGTATTAATTGTGCACCTTGTAAATTAATTTCTTTTAAATAAGTTAAATTTGTAAAGACATCAGAATCAATATATTTTAATGGATTATTATTTAAATGTAATATATGTAAATTATATAAATATCGAAATGTTTGATTAGTTAATTTTTCAATTTGATTATAACTTAAATCAAGATCATATAATTGTTGTAAATTTTGAAAATGTATTGATGATATATTCTGTATAGAATTATTAGCTAATGATAAATTATTTAGTAAATATAGATTAGCAAATGCGTATGGAGATAGATATTGTATATGATTATTTGTTAATATTAATCGTCCTTCAAATGTTTGTAAATAACGAAAAGCATATGCATTTATTGTATTAATATAATTATAACTTAATTCAATTTCATCTGTTTGACTATATTCGAAATTATTTGGAAAATAATTTTCTGTTAGATTTGTTGTATTTATACTTGATAGAATGGTATAAATTGTTATATAAGCAGGAAGATTAATTAATGTTATATTTACAGTAACAGTTTGATCGGGTAATTGAGCAGAATTTTCATCACTTGATGATTCGAATATTGAATGTGAAATTGTCTTTTTTTTCCGTTGACGAATTTTTAATGGTGAGGATTGACTACTTGTTTGATAAGAGGAACGTGTTGTTAACATAAAATCATATTCAAGAAAATTATCATGTTGATTTTTATTCGGAAGATTTGTTTCATTATGTTGATTAGTTATGTATTTTTTATTAGTAAAACCATAAAATTTTGATGAAATTATATTAAATGTATAAATCTTTGCATTTGAAAATATTATTTCAGATATTGGCCTTTGGAAATCGATTGATTTAATAAATATATTGGTTATTGTTGTACCATAAAATACTTCTCCATTCAATTCGAAATTTAATGTACCATATGTATCTAAATGTGCTATAGCTAATTGACCAATATAAGCATTATCAAATGCATGATCCTTTAAAAAAAGATTTTGAACATTAAAACGTACTGTTCGTGCTCGAATATCAGCAAACGCATATCGATCGATTGTTAAATTATCATTTGGAGTTTCAAATGCTAAACGATCGTATGGTACAATTGCCCAATGATAATCTGTTGTTATTTTATTTAATTGACGACATCGTAAACGTGTTTCATTTAATGATGATATTGGTACACCACGTGTACGTTGACAATGACAATCACGTGGAAGTTTTAATAATTCACAAGCGGTCTTAAAATTGATTAATGAAATAATACTTGATGGGAATAGTAGAATAACAAGTACAATAGAGTAACTAAAAAGAACAAATTGATATTTTGATTGATAGGATCGAATAAACATTTAGAAGTCTGATGAAATGCGATCTCAACCTATCATTTCATCTCAATCTCATATTGCTCAACACATGTGTGTTATAATATAATACGTACCCGATCATTTCTTGAAATTTGATGGAATGTATTATAACAAAGAAGATAATCGTTTTCTTGAATAGTATTTAATGAATACAAATCAATGTGATGAACAGACGGTATATATGTATTCACATGCGGAAAATAAATTTGTTCATTGAATGTCTATCTTATAGTCAGTCGATTTCACGTATATGAAGACGAAGAAAGGCGGGTGAGAATAATCAAGGAAGCGAGAGTACCGTTGTTGTTTAGATTATCGACGCTCAATAGAATAAGCACAATTCGCCGCATCGATCATCTTTACAGCTCAATTATGAGCACACGCGCACAACATACACATCTATTTATATATATGGAGAGAAATCGACGACGAGTATTGATGAGTGACAAACGTAACCATACGCATTATTGAACGATGGTGTTAGAATAAACTAAATGAAAAAAATAGAATGAGGTTAGCAGGTAGAGAATAAGCCACTAGAGGAAATTCTTTCTTTTTTCTCTATTGTGTGTAATAGTATTACTTTATGAAATAGAACTGTTTCCCGGAAGCTGCAAGTGCCAATGTGTTCTATATGAGTAGACACAACGTTGATCAAGAATGATATAACTGAATGCTTATATTATGCTTCAGAAAACGAGATTAAACTCAATTATTCAACAGCCAATTGAATTTGTATTGTTACGATTTACCTGTTATCTTGTTAACACGACTGAACTTGTTTCTCTATTTAATATCCAAGTATAGATTATCGTTTTTTTGTCTTATTGTTGATGTTATTCTGACTACCGTAGCCGGCCATAGTGAAAATTATTATCATGATTGTTTAACGATGCGAAAGAATGCCACATTGCCTTCTCGTCATTGACATCGACTTTTCCGTGTATTTATGAATCACCAATCGAAGAGAGAGAGAGAGAGAGACAGAGGAAGAGAGACCAAAAGACTTTGGAAAAGAGGGATATGAGAAGAGTAAAGAGAGACATTATCGAACGTCGTCTTTTCTTTCTTTTTTTCTCTCTCTTTTTGTTCGAATGCTTGTCAAGATCAACAACCTGGCCTTCTACTATTAATTAGAAAATGCTTTTGTTAGTACCGCTACGCTCCCATCATCATCATCAACTTAATTCATTTCCTTCTTTATTATTCGTGATGTTATTGTTGTTTTTATTCTTTTTTTTTTGATTCGAGAAAATTTGTGATGCTTGAATGCTAATATTCATATTGAAACGATTGATTATCATTATTTATAAAATATACACATATATATATCAACGACGATAGCAAGTAAAATCAACAAATGTCAATAAGCCTAATATGCCAACAGGCTTTTCTGTTGTTTTTATATATATACTTGTTCGTAATAACTATCATCAAACATCAATAATGATTAGTTCAGTTATTTGATGTGTTAATAATCAATCGAAAATGAATTTGATCAGAATAATTTATAATTCTATTCATTTAATGCATGTGCATTTTCAATAGATACATACATCAACATCGATAGATAGAAGATAAAGTCATTGAAAGAACAAATAATTTTCATCTGCAACTATAGTTCGGAATAATCGTTTTCTTCTTTCTTATTCAAGTGTCATAAAGGGAAGACAAAACAGCACGTCAAATCGACTATAAACGTCATAAAAAAAGACAAATGTATGCCGGAAGAATAGTTCTTTCTCTCTTGACTTCTTTGAGCATCTTTAAAACATAGCCTGCTTCAAATCCCAAGACACCAAAACAATTGCTTTGCAGAAAAGAATAGAAATAAGAAGAAGGAGAAGAAGAAAAAGAGCTAATCAACAGAATCTTTTGTTTACTTTTCTAAAGAAAAACATTATATAATGGACAAAAAAAAAACTTTTGGGACCTTATTTAATTTTTTTAATATATTATCATTTGTATTTATACTATTATGAATTGAAAATAGTATTAATTATCTGTACAAAATAATACTCAAGGGTGGATATGAATGTTTCGTTTAAACACTCACATCTCTCATCTATGGTAATCCACATCGTCAAGATTTAAATAGAATATTTCTTATTTAATATAATTATTGTCAAACTGAATTATAAGTCATTTATTATGAATAAATCTCTTTATGAAATCGAAATTTTTAATCGATGGAAATAATTTAGTGTAGTTTATTTCTTTAAATTAAATTATCTATTCTTCATTTCTCTTAGATTGATGATATCTAAACACCTTCAAAAATATAATTATATCATATGTTATTCTAATCATTTATTATTATTGACTTTGTCTTTGAGAAAATAGTAATCGAAGTTATATTCGCTATGTTTACAATAGTAATCGCATCTATTTAAGTCTAGATATCTAGACGTTTATTTGTGGAAAAGAAATCCAAGAAATTAAAATAATATTAATATTGACATTTCATTTTACTCATTGAGATGTTGCTAATTTCTTCTTTTATTCGATATTATAGATTGTAGAACTAAATTACGCATTTTCTTTTTGACAATATTCATTATATAATCGATGAAGCAGTCATTTCTTTATCGTGTTATATATTCTTTGCTTAATCTATTTCTCGTTTAGACCATGAATTTAGTCATAGTCTGACATTTCTCAAAAGTAAAATTAGACATGGCAAGGACACAATGAACTGTCTGTATGTAGATTTATCAAATAATTATTGATTGAACAGTTGTGAAAATTTTAATTATTTATTCTATAGCTGGAAGCTTATAATATTTATTATGCTTAACGAATGTCTATGGAGAAAATCATCGAACAGATTATACTGCTAATAAGTATTAGATGAATAACTGATTACGATAATATGAACAGAATTGATTCTTTAAATTTCTATATTAATCATTGTTAAAATTGCCGATAAGATTCATAAAATCTTAATAATTAAATTTATTTGATATTGTTCGCTGGTATATATTATTTATTCTTGCAATAATACTAAATCAAATTAATTTATGTACTATTTTTACCTACGCATATTATTTTCTAAGATTTTTTAAAAACTTGATTATGGATCTTTAACAAAATGATTTTGTAGGATAAACAATTTTTTTTATAGTATAAAAATATAACAACAACAACAATGAAATATTAGTAAATATAGTTTAAATACATTCTACAGTTAGTTAAAATATGAATATTAAAAAAGTGGTCGATGCGATCATAAGTTAAATAATAATGAAATGTTCACTCTTGGATCATTTTTCCAATAATAAAAGTTCAATTTTAATAGTTGATTTTTACTATGTTTTGCCTGTTTATGCACCAGCTGTTGTTCCACTTATTGGTACAGTTGTTGATATGACTGATGTTATCACTGTCGTCGTAGTCGTTGTTGTTGTCGTTGTTGTTGTTGTTGTTGTAGTTGTTGTTGTTGATCCTGTTGTTGTTGATCCTGTTGTTGTTGTTGTTGATGATGTTGACAGTGTTGTAGAAGTAGTAGTAGTCGTTGTAGTAGTTGATGGTGTAACCATAGTCAAATTTTTACTATCATTATGTAATCCAATTCCTAAACCTAAGCCTAATGCTAAACCTACCAGAATAAGACCAGTACCAACAGCAGCACCTAGCACTAGTGGCATTGGTTTCCAAGGACTCCATGTGGATCCTGAAGAGATAGGTTTATATCCGATCATGTCTACAATAAATGAATGATAAACAATAGTAGAATGTTTACGATCGAATGTATTGTGTCCCTTAGCTTACTCTTATGGTTATATACGATGTCATTAAATAATGTTTTCGTCAAAACGAAAAATAAGAGCGGTAGTATCGTGTAAACACACGTGTATTTAATGCAAATGTCGATAATAAGAAACGATAAGACGCATATTATTATTATGGTATACAAATATTAACTATCATCAAAATATTTTCGAATTGCACTATTATTGTAATAATGGATTCTTTACGTATAAATCCAGTATGAAGAAAAAAAAATAAATTAAGATTTACTTTTCTATAATCACTACAGAAATTTATAAACTATTGTCATTCTATTATTTATAATAGAAAAAAATACGAATTCATTGATCATTTTTAAGTATTTTTAGTATTGCAAACTGATTATTTCTCCTTTCTCAATACAAATAACAAACTAAAATACAGATATGATTTTATGTATGACTATCCTTCTGTTTCATTCGTCTAATTAATACTGCATAATGCACAAATAAACGTTTTTCTTCCCTTCAATTGCAATGCTAATTAGATGAGTAGAATAGAGGAATAGTCATGTATAAATATTATTTGTATCCTTGCTCGTTATCTACCGTGATAATGGACGAATCATTCGTCTGAAGTGTTCATACAGGGTTTCTATTAAATAAATTTAAAAAATTTAACAATAATTTATGACTTTGTATTCTTTACTATTTAGTCTTTTTTTTGTTGTTGTAGGAGTTCAGATAAAATAATTCAGTCTATACTTTTAGTTATATTTAAAAATGAAGAGATAAATTTTCATTAGTAATGCAATCGTGTATAATTGACAATTCATCAATAGATAAAATTAGCATAGCAAGTGAGGATTATATCATTATAAAGGATTATCAAGTAAATAATAGAAAAATTTTATATGAACAAATGTTCATTATAGAAAGTATAATAGTCTATATCTGTTTAACATAAAATAAAGAGAAATTGTTTTATCATTCATAGAATTTTTTAATGAAGCAGTTATATCTACTATACAGATGTTAAAATAAATTGATCGATATATATATTATCTAAAACACTTCAATAACAACAATACACTTATAGTAATTCAATCCGTCATTTTCAATAATTCTTTTGCTTCTAATCGCTAGACATAATTTTAGAAATATGCAAATTATTGGAAAGGTTATAGAGGTCAAAAATAGTTTCTGACGAAACTTTAGTGTAAATCTATGCATATGATCGTTGCCTCAAAAATAGAGACATATTCTTGATGTTTATGATGTGCAGGATCAATATATTCATTACAATTCATTAAATCTAAAAGATCTGATAGTAAAATTTCAGTCTGAATATCCAGTATTTGATTGAAATATGAAAGTAGTCTTCCAAACTTGATGCTATTAATGATTATCCTAATGGTAACATATATAACATGAGGACTATCAGGCGAGCGAGTATAAGCATAATTCTAAGGAGTTTGTAAAAAATATTCAAAATTTGTTTTGAATAATGGTGGAGCATAACGTTCAGTTTTATTAAAACCACTCATTCACTATAGAAATCATCCTACTGTTAACGAACTTATTTCAGATTCAATCTATTTCATAAAATGATTTAAAAGATCTTGATAAAGTTTATTTTATACTTTGTAAAAAGAATTTTATCTTCATTCTTATTGGAAGGAGAACTTTTAATTGAAGCAAATAATATAGTTTTATTTTACCCATATCAATCAAAAACTTTATTTAATAGATGATATACAAAACAATCATAAGTATACCACCAAATAGCTTTTAATAGTGTATATTCTCGTTCAAATTTATTATTTCTGCTTTGTTCAATTGAATTCACATGATATAGTAAATGACATTCAGTAATCATTTCATTTTTTTTTAATTATATGATTTAGATAAATATTGTAAGATAGTACTTAGTAATTGATATCACATAAATGCTGTACTCTCATCCGTTAAACTACTTAATGATTTTTAATTATCTGCATGCATATCATCATGAGTTTTATCAATTAAAGTTCTTGTCTCTGTAAATGTAATAGAGATTTCCAAATGTGATTGAATCTATACTGCTGCTCTCTTTCGATCAATACAAAGAACATATATTATTTGAATTTGTGGTAATTGATAATAACGAAACAATAAGAAAAACTCGTTTATTATATTCTGTAGTTATAAAATGCTTTTAATTGATCTCGAACAGTAGTTTTTGAGACTTAATTTCTTTATCTAATCATATAACAAGAAAATTAATATCAACATTGAAAACATTATTTTCTGCCCATATATAATTATTCTTTGATCCTATTGCATTTCTAGAAAATGAGTAGAAAAATTTATATAAATAACATTTTAATGCTCAAAAAATATATATCAATCAGCAATTTCTTTCAACGGATTAAACAAGAGAACACTGTATAACGGCAAACAAAAAAACAATATTTGTTAATAATCACACTATTTTTTCCATCGCTGGTGACGTTTTCTGCTTTAAATTCGATGTTTTCTCCATAAAAGCATCCTAAATAGACGACAAAATTAATAAAGATATAAATGACATACATTTTTAAATACTTTATCATAGATAACACGAACAATAAGTGAACAACTAGGACATCGTGCAGTATCTTCACCACTTTCTAGTTCTTCCTAAATAGAAATCATAGAAATTTCTTTCTTTTTCAATCAAATATATTTACCTTTGTAATTTGAAATCTATCACCGCATGGACATGGCCAATAGTAAGTTTCAGATTCATCATCATATTCAAAATCTGAATTAATCGATTATTCTAATATATATGTTACTCTTTAGATATATATGTATTACCTTCTATTTCAACTTCATCATGAAAAGCCATTCTATCACACTTTTACATACGTAACAAAATCTAAAACAACACAATAACTCAAATACGATAAACAATAAAAGTTTTTTCTCTTTCATTCAAAAAAACATGCACACATTATATGTTCATATATATATATATATTCATTTATTCAAATACAATAATTTCATTTTTTAACTAAACAAAAAGAAGACCGAAAATATTTATTGAATGATATTTACACCCATTTTTTTAATGTAAATATTAAAAGTCAATAATTTTAAACAAGTTAAAAATAAATATGATTGTGCATACAATTATCAATAGATGTGCTATGGACAAAAAATGTTGTTTAAGACTTTCTTTCTTTGTCGTCTTTGTTGGAAGAACTATGTAGGAAAAGTGTTCCTACTGCTGCTGCGGCTGTTACCATCACTCCAAGTGCAGCTGAAGCTCCAACTGCAATCTGAACCTAAAAAGAGCAATTGGATTATAATCATTGATATTTTTGAATGTGCTCATACTTGACGACTATTTGGTTGACCATAACGACATTCTGTTGCAAAATGTTCACAATTACTATACACTAAATTATAACCTTCTTGATTGAGAGCACGACGTGCTTTATCAAGAATAACTTCAGAAGGTAATGGCCTAAAATAAAAAAATGAAAGGTTTAAAATTTTCTAGAACAAATAGCGTCGATAGGGTCTATGAAACTGATGATAATTTAACGAGGAGTGCACAGTATTTGTTCACTTATGAATTATTAAAAAAGAACACTTGATGATGTACAACTATTTCTTGCGTAATTATAAGTTCAGATAAGAATTATCTTATCCTATTTTGATGGATTTAAATCTTAAAATCATAATCAGTTTCGTTTACATACTGGTATTTGTTATCAAGATAATTATTGATTCGAACTTTACCACCCAAATTAAGAACATCTGTTACGTTTGATTGAAGAATTGTTGCTTTATCAAATTGTGTACCAGAAAATGTTAAAAAATTTCCCCAAAAACCAACTGATTTTCCAATACCATCATTATCACCCCATCGATGAATTACAAAACCATTACCTTATTGAATAGAATTTTCACAAAACAAATAAATAATAATAAACTTAACTTACCAGCATAAATAGCCCAATGACTATAACTACTTCGAATAAATTCAATCATATCTCCTGGTTTAGCTTGAGCAAGAACATCTTCATTTTCTTTTGTTTTTTCAATCTTAGCAACTTCAGCCATTATGAAATCTGAAAATAAAATTACAACAAACGAAATTGTTTATATCCTATTTATATGAAAACAAAAGAATAGAAGAAATAAATTCACTATGACGCATATAAATTCCGAAATTAATAATTTCACTCATATGACACACTATTATATGAACGATTGCATTATTTTAGTAGCCAATCCTGATAATTCTTACATCCTTCTTCATAAATAAAGTTCTACGCATCGATAGATGCCGATAATTTCTTTCACTGACTACAAAAATATTCTTATCAAAATAACTTCGATATTTAATTCCTGTTGTTACTCTACAAATATCAGCATATACATTTTCAAAGATGATAATGACAAAAAATTAATTAATTAATTAATATTTCTTTTTCTTCGTCTTCTAGATCTATCAGCAGCAACAGTATTGAGTGTCAGGTCATTCAATAGTGGCAGACAATTTCAATAGTACAAAAAAAAAAGAATGAAGAGAAAAAAAAATAATACGCATAGAAATAAAACAAACAAATACACACACACACACACGCACGCGCACACACACAACTTGACTTTGCGCACGATCGAATATTCTATTCTCTTTCCATAAACATGATTTTTCTTTCTTCTTTTTTTTATTCGAGAACCAGCTCGATTAGCATTGATACCATATTACCTATCTATAACTACTATAAGAAAATTGTGTCGTCATAATAATTGTAATGAGAAAACGACGATAAAAGTTAAACTAATGGACGACCATGATGACGATATAATCGTTCTAGCTGATGAAGAAAGAGATGTATTACTTCTATTATTGGATATCGATTCGTCGACAAATATCGATGATGATGTTATTTGTTGAGATAAAGAAGGCGATAACGGTTCAATTTCAAAACAAGGCGGTGTAGTCACAATGTCTTCGACAAGTTTAAATAACGGAGAAGTAGGAGAGGAAGAATTATTTGATAATGAAGATGATGTCGAAGCAGAAGGACGTTGAAGTGAACCATGAAACACATGACATGAATCAAAACAATGAGGTCTATGGCCATAATCACTGTTTGTCACAATACCACCTAAATATATAAAATCATTCAATCAATATATATGGTTTATCTCAATAAATATCTGATAGATAAATAAGCTATGACGAAGATACTATCTATTGTAACAGTTGTCTTTTAGGAATATGATTTTAATCAATATGAGAGAATGATTGTAATTACCATCGCAAAAAAATAATGGTTGTCCAGCAAATAATGGTTCACGATCACTCGGTCGAAATGTAGGACAGACACGTTCGACTTCATCACAGATCGTTTGGCAAGGCGGTATTTGTTGATTCCGATAAAAATATGGAATTGTGACTGAACAAGCCCATGTTCGGTAAGCTTGCTGAAGAGAAAAATAAATTAAATAAATTTTAAGAAAAAGAAAAATATCTACTTCGCAATCGGCTGTGATAATTGAATAACGATTTTCGATTGATGCGCAATCTATTGCTTCCATATAAGTAGCAAATGATTTCGAAGCTTCTTGAGCTTGTTTGTCGAATATTATAATTTGATTTAATCTTTCTCGACATTCGTTTTCTGTTGCTTTGTCGAAAAAATCTTCTTTCATTATTGTTTGATGTAAAAAATTCGAACAAAATGGTAAATAATTTGTATTGAGTAAAGGTCGACTTATATTGTCGAATTTTTCGAATGGAGTCTTTCGGGCACGACATTTTTTTGAACATATTCGATCGATTTCGGAACCATCTATTGGTAAACATTGTTGTTCGTCCTGTTTCAATAATGGTCTTGTTGTTGTGGACGGCGTTAATAGTGGACGTTTTATTGTTAGTTGATTTGATGATGTTAGAGTCGTTGTTGATATTGTTGATGCATGTGTTGACATGATTTTTATGGATGATAATGATAAAAATATGACTGACCAATGAAGATGATTGGTTAGAATAAGCAATGTTAACATGTAGGTGAGCAAATGCTGCACCAAACATTGCTGCGGCCGACAACGACGCCGCCGGCGATGTTGTCGATAATGTTTATTAGATTTAACGATAATCGATGAAGAGGATTCGACAATAGAAATTGATGTTACTGATGACGACGATGATGATGATGTTGTTGTTGTTGATAATGATGATGATGATGATAAATCGTATTCAAGTTCTTTTAATTGTTTATAGAAATATTCTTGTTGATTAATTATTGAGTGATTTGAAATATCATCGTCAGCATCATCAGTGACGAGAAGCAAAGACATGGCACAGTGCCGCCTTGTGCATGGCTAGCCTAGAATAAAAAGAACAAGAAGGATTTTGATTGGATTTATTGGAAATATTTATTCTGATTTTAACTTATAGAAAGAACAATATAGCATGTAATGACTAAAAATGCGAAGCAAGGTTTTTATCGATCGGAAATGATTGGTTAAATTATATTGACTTAATCTTCTAGGGCATTCAATAAAAGTACATTTTTTTTTCAAATGTCATATGAGAAATTATTGATATTTTTGTCTATTTTATAATATGTAGATACATAATACAAAGCTGTCAATTTTGATCAATTAAATTTAGTATGTGAATTCTACTGTATTACCTCAGTATGATATTCGTTTAGTTTAGTAAAAAAGAAATATCTGTGATTTTCAAATAAGTCTTTGTCACATCTTTCTCTCTTTTTTCCTATGTTTAATTGATGGAAGAATGTCATTGTATAAATAAATGAGGAAATCTCGTGACAAATTCAAATATTCTATTCTAAACGTTAATCAACATAGAATCTTATTAATAAAGGAGAAAAAAAAGAGTACTTTTTGATAGAAAATAATATTAATAATATTCTGTTCAATAAAATGAAAAGATTTTTTTTGCTTAAAATCGTATCGAAACTTTTTTTTTAAAAAAATATTTTACTATTGAAAAATACTTCTTAAATAGATGTCACTAATTAATTAATATATTATAGAAAAGATACGTTTTTTTTCTTCATCTCTTTTTTTTGTAATAATAAAATAAAAACTAAATTTTATTGTTTAAATAAAATTGTACCTAAATACACAAGGAAAAAAAATTACTGCCTAGAATAAACTTGAAGATAAGAGCTATAAGATTTTGTTATTAGGCGTATCCGGTAATCTTTCTTTACAGGATGTGAATATTCACCACATGGTAACTATAAGACTTATTATTATTTTTCTTAATAACAATTATAATTGCACTATATTGGAAGATCTTTCTTTCAAAAGATATTCTTTTTCTTTTCCTATTTATGAAAATTGATATTTCGAAAGAAATTATTTAACTAATAAAATAGAATTAACTATTAAAATAGTATATGTATAAGAAATTGTATTTGATTATTTTACCGTCTAGAGATTTCGCAATGAAAATTTGTAATTGTTCTTGTTGTTTTTCTTGTTGTTGAGCATCCATCTGCAACCACCGATGTCATCGAAGCGCTCAACGTTTTGTCATGTACCCTATTGTCTCCAATTGAATATTTTATCTAGAAGAAAATAGAAAAAGATGAGCTAAAAATATAAGCGTAACATTGTTAGTAGAATTTGGATAACTCTCTTTTTTTTTCTAAGTGTATGTATTTGATCATCATCAAGTCAAGCTTCAATTACTACACACACACACATACAGTCGTCTTCGTTGCACACGACGGGAGCCAAATTGCAGAAGCGCGTTCTCTCTCTCCCTTATGACCAACAGTACCGCTGTTGCTGCCACTATTTCTATCATCTCTATTATTATTATTTCTTTTGCGCTCTTACTCTGTCTTCCTTTCTTTTCTATTCTGGCCGTATAGTGGTCCTAGCTGCCACGACGATTGGGTTTTTCTTTTCTTTTTTTCTTTCCATTCTCTATCTTTTTCCTTTTTTTTCTGTCGATGCTAACGTTGTTTCCTATCAGCAAACATACTGCGCTGTTGACTGGCTGCTGTTACAAGAAAGAACACGATGATGAACGAACATTTCGCGTCATCGTACGGAAAAGAAAGAAACAGGGAAAGACAAGAAAGCTACCGCAGCAGCATTCTCTTTCCGACACAAAGGTTTGTTCGTTCTGATGCTCTCTTTCTTTGTGATTATTCTATTACAGGCACCGGGCCTATTTCCCTTTCCTCATTCTATCCCCTCCTTCCCTCTTTGCCATTTCGAACTGGACATAAACAGACAATTTTCATCAGTAAATTGAATAATAATAGATATCAACGGGCATTTAAATACTTCTAATGATTAGGTACAAAAATATTAAAATAATTTTTAATATATTTAAATATATATAAGAACAACAAAAATAACAATATGAGCTATAATAGAAAAAGAAGAAGATGATGATGATGATGATGATGAAG